TAACAGAAAAACAATAATACACAGCAGTATAAGTACATACAGTTGAACCCCACTATAATGACAGGAAGATTGGTTCACTATCTCTGATACAATAAGAAATAATAATAAGAAGATCCGATAAGAATAATATCAAAACATATGAATAATAAATCTAACTGAGTTTAACTACAATTATTATTATGTGCAGTTATTAAATTTGTTGTTTATTCAAGACAGAAGAAAAACACAACAAAGTAAAACATAAAATTAGCAAAGCAACAACCTTGAGTTTGGCATAAATTTTAGTCAAGACTCTATTTCAAAGGCAAATAGGTGCAGGTATATCTTTATCAGAAACAAAGAAATTTGCTTGATGGCAGGTTTTGTTTCTGATGGCAGAGATAATGGCAGATTTCTTTGCCTCGAAATCGATACAATCTTGACTAAAATCTACATCTAACACCATGTTGTCTGTTGCTTTGCTAATTTTATGTTGTTATTTGTCCTTTTCAAGTTTCACTATGCATTGATAACTTTACATCATACATTACCTAGTATAAATATCATGGTTCTGATCTTTACCTCCAATTACAACATTTATAAGTGAATAAATTTTATCCAAGAAATTGAAAAAAACAATAAAACAGTATAACACAAAACAGTGATAAATTTACCTTTAACTTTTACTGCTGGTAAGAGACATTTACTTCCAATTATAGAAATGTTTTAAATAAAGTAAACATTCATGTTTTTAGCACTTTTAAGTTTCAAAAAGCCAATTTTTGTAAACATTACAAAATCTGACTTTTTCTATAGTTATATTTAGTAAAAGTTAATATTTATTGTAAAAAAAAACCCCAATATGTTTGACTCACATACAACAAAAATTGATTGAAATGTTTTAAGTTCAAGATAATTTTACCTGAAAAACCAGACTTTGTATACAGATTAAGAAGCAAATATTTAAATTTGGAGGTAACTAAAAATGAAATAGCAGTTTATAGAAAGAACTCATTGCGGTTAACAGATTAAGTGACAATAACTGACACGCAGACCATCATGAAACGTTTTGATCAACATAAATATTTTCAAAAAGTTGAGTTTATAAAATACATGTTCTGGAAAACAGTCATAGGCTTCAAGTTTTGGTACAAGGCCAACTCATAACATTCCCATAGATTAAAAATAACAAATATTTTTAATTCTTTTTTTTTTTTTTTTTTGTATAACTTATTGTATTAGAACCTTAAACTAATAAAACGACACATAAGTATTATTAGTGCAGTTTAAGCATTTGAAATTTATTAATTACTTGTGTGATAATGCTTTTGGCAAACCAAATGTAAAAAATTGTACATTAAAGAATGTTACCTGTTAGTAATTGCAAATGAATATCATTGAATGACATTAAAACAGAAATGAACCTCAAATCATCTTAACACTTTTGCAAAATGGTAGAACTAGCCATTAATACAACACTAATGAATTTGATAAGTTGGTAGTTTGAACATTAAGTTAATAATATAGCATGTAGAAAACAAATACACTTTACTCATGACAAAAATACTTTTTTAACACTATATGAATGCAGGGTCTCCAATTTCTGTATCGTTACTGCACCTGTCACTAACTAATGTGATGTGTTTAGTGATTGTTGGATGCAGCTAGCAATTAGCAGTGTGAGGTATTTAGTGAATGTGAGTACACAATGAGCGTTAATTGTGAAAAAGCTAACTTATCTCTTGACTATTTCCCTCAAAGAAAGCAATAAAAATATATTTCTGTCTCTGAAAAATCTCAAAATTTTCCGAAATTTTAAAGTTTTACTGCATATGAGTCAAAATTTATGTTTATTTTTAAGAATGAGTACAAATTTTCACAGAAGGCTGTAACATGGACCAGGGCACTACAAAGTTTGATATCATAATTTTTATAAAGCTACTTTTTTAAAAAAATAATAATGGTATAAAATGAATATTTACATCACTTGAAATATTTTTGTATCAGAAAATGCATGCTGATGACCAATCAGTGCAAAAAATACATCTTGTGTAAGGACTTTTATGGATACACAGAATATTGGCTCTATTAAATCTCTTAAGTTCAAACCTCAAAATTCTTTACATTCATATTTTGTGAGAGAAAAACTACACCGTGCAGCATTAATATAATTATATGCTATATTTATTACTATATAACCATAATTATTATTACATTTATGTATAATGTATGAATTTTCAATTATATACAAAGTCAAACATTTGATATAGCTAATTTTAAGATGTATTAATCTATGGATGAAGAGACATTATCTGCTATACTAGCATGAAGTTTAAAATACAAGAAAAATTAAAATCTGATAACAATTATAATGATAACATGGAAAAGTAAAATGTAAATTATTATTTCAAAAGCAGAAACTTGTAATTTTTGAAAAAATAAAAAGAAAAGTAAGAGGATTATAGACCTAATCAAATTAGGTTATGCTGAGAAGAGGAAGAATTTCAGTTGTGATAAAAAAAAAAGGAGTTGCAGTATAGATGGTAATAATATATGGATACTGCAAAAAGAGAATAACGATTGTAATGTATAATATTAACAGTGCACACTAGATGCATGATAGATCAGTGCACTGTTAATGTTTTACTTCAATACACACTACCAAAATTGCTATTCTTATGCTCTCTAACTAGGATTTTATTCATTTTGAATGAACTATTCAAAAACAAAATTTTATGCTAAAAAAAATGGAAGAATAATTTTAACCCTTTCATTAAGCAAATTATTTCCTTCACAATTATGCAAACAGATATACCGATCAGCTATGGGAAAGATATAAATACTGTTTAAAATTAAGGAAATAACAGGAATAGAAATTTTGAGCTTGAAAGGAAAAATCTACTTAATAAACATTAATAACTACTTATATTATTAATATATATGTAAGTAAGGTATAATAAAATATTATAGCTATGTTAAGAAATAACTGGCAACCTCAAAATTGACAGTTCTAGATTTGGTGCTCTCTCTCTAAATTCATTTGTTCTCCCAAATTCGAGATCCTTCCATGTTATATAACACAGCTTGAAAAATGTAACTAAAACTAATATTAACGAATTATAGCTTGTTTCTAGAAATGCACCTACTTCGGTATAAAAACCACTGGCGAGTTAATTACATTATTACATTCATTTTCCCCCTAACTTCTGCCATGCAAACATCTCCACACTGCTTATGCTTCTCAGCCTGACATGACGTCGTATCTTTTTTCCTGTTACCTAAAAATTTATTGTATACAACAATCATTGAAAAGTAATTTGTTTGCCAAAGAGGTGATTTTAAATGTGTAAAAATAAAGATGCTGATTCTTCAATTCAGTTTTGTTATCTGTGTCTCTTCTTGCCACTCTGCCAGCACATATTTATATAAAGATTTATTTTTACTTTCAAGTTTTTAGTATTTTTACTTGATAAACACTTCAGTTTACAAATACTTAAAATTTCAACTATATGGAACTTCCTCTCCAAATAAATAAATAGACAACATTTCTAGAATAAATTATAATTTCCTTTAAAGTAAATTGCTAAATAATTGCAAGAATTTAATGGCATTCTTTTGTAAAGGCAACTAAATGAATAAGAAAATCATTGGAAATCCTATATACATTAATCTTAAGAGTGGTATCATTCATTGTTCAGGAATATTACTGTATTTCCTTGCATATTTCTCCCCCTAGCTTAAGCACAGGGTTCTGAAAATTTATTAAATATACACATAATTTTTTCCTTCTTCAAGCTGTTCAGGAATTCAGCCATGTAATAGTTTTTTTTTTTTTTTTTTGTCTTACTAATTGATTTGCCTATCAATATTGGGTGCATGGGCTTTGACAGGCAAAGTAATTCTACCAAAGAGTTTCAAGAAAAGATGGATATCTAATGCTGTTGATGGTTCTGAAAATGATTATATGAGGAAAGGCAATATGACAAGGTGATTGATGACTTGCAAGTTCTAATGAATGACCGAACCAGCATTTTCAGCAACTGAATGAACTGAGGCCTAGGAAGTAGCAGTGGACAATAATAAGGGGGTAAGTTTCAAGAAATAGAAAAGTAGAAATGAAGATAACTTACCAGACATTATAATGTTAATATTGCCATGCATTCTTATTGAAATGTTAGTTTTCTTTAAATAAATAATATTGCAACAGTTCACAGCAGTTTATCCATATTTTTTAAATTTTTTATGTTCTTATTGTAAAAACATTTTTTTAAATTTAAATTACTCACATAATTTTCCTCTCTCAATTTTTATATAAGCCTGCTAATTATAGAGCGAAAATATGCAAAAAAACTACAGTATATGATTCAGCTTAATGAGAGCTGACCTTAAAAAGAATTGTAAAAACAATTTGAGCATCATTCAAAAAACGTTCCAACTTATTAAATATTTTAGTTAAAGAAATTCAACACTAAATTTTACAAAGTTAACCTGCTGCAAATAATAACTTATTTAGATGATTATTTTATCAAACATTTTAAATTACCAGTGTTTAAGTATACACAAGCTACCTGAAAAAGACGGATGCACATTTTATTTTCTTAAATATTCATCATCACCATGTATTTTCAGGTACAAAGCTTCTTAAGAGTATGACAGAAAGTTTTGAGGAAGCAATTTATACACAGGAAATTCTTGACTAATTTTTCACTTAAGGATACTGAATTTTTTATGTTTAAATTATGAAAACACAAAGAAGACTTTATGAATTTTAACTATACAATTTAAGGATCATACAAAAATTAGAATATTTGTACAACAAATTTATTTCACTCATCAATCATTCATCAGCTTTAATACTGACACAATATTCAGAAAATTTGCTTCATAATTTTGAGATACTAACTAGAAATACATATTTAGGATAAGTTTTTAAGGCAGCAATTGTAGCAGCCATCCTTCTCAAACAATCTTTGTAAAAGAATCACATATGTATATGTCATATAAATAAAGTTATCTCTTACCTCACCAAATGGGGGTTTCCCAGTAGCCATTTCAACAACAGTGCATCCCAGAGACCAGATATCAGCCTATAATTTTTCAGAATGTTTTTAAGTATAATTATGTCATAAATCATGCATGTAAATTTTAACATAGTACTTTATTTTAAAAACATACAAATAATACACAAAATCTGAGCAATCTTGAAATAAAAACATAACATTACATGCAAATTTATCTACTGATTTCACTTTTCTTATTTAATTGATATATAATCATTAAATATAGAATTAACTTACATACACTTACGTAGACGATGTTCAAAATTCATCTTTTTGATAGATTTATACTGTAATATATTTTTGTACACATATGATGCAAAAAAACTAAATTAAATTTTATTTAAAAAACTGGAAAATTCACAATACTTTAACCGTACCATATACTACAGTTTTTTCAAACTAAAACAGATGTAAATCAAATGTAGTTGTTGAAGTTTGGAAACTCAGAATTATTTCCATCCTTAAATTAATTTATACAGTTTTCTTATACAGAAGATATAATCTATAAAATAAAATTTTTATCTGTTATTTATTCCCTATAATAACAAAATTAAAAACAGCTAGAAAGTTATAGCAAAATTTTTCTAACTGAACATCATCACTAAAGATTTTTCTTTAGACTTAGATACTTTAAAATTTTGAGCTTCTAAAGCACATGATCAGAAAGTCGGTTAACTCTTAATTGGAAAATAATAATAATAATAATAATAATAATACCAGTAATGAGAAGGAAAGAGAATACATAAACTTTCTTATGTTATTCTCTTCTGTCTCAGCAAAATTATTAATGTAATTCATGTAAAGTGCTGAAGAAGAGAATACAGGGAATCATGTAATAAAAATAGGGTAAATTGCAACTCATTTGTGACCCTTAACCACTCAGCAGACCACACTTTTCTGCATTTGCCTGCATGTGATAACAGGCATCTAATTTGTAAACACTGTGATTCTGATTACAATATATCGTTTGTGCTAGCTTGCTTTTTGGTTCATAGTTGGCATTATTTAATCAGAAAGCAAACCTTTATTCTCCTCCTCCATTCAAATGGCACAGATGTGTGATTTCATTTGGATACCACATAATAATATACTTTGAAAATGTTTATACAAGTTTTCTTTAATATTTAATTAATTTATTATTAAAATGCATATACTTGAGATATAAGGCCTATTTCACATAGTTTATAAATTCAATTTTTGTGTGTTAGATATGCATAATTTCTCATGATGAAAGCAGTGACTGTGGAAGTTTTGACCATATCATCTACGAAAATCTGCTAAACAAAACAGGAAGCTTCAAAATTTTGCATATTTTCTCATCATGATTTTGCATCGGATGATACAGCAGTCACATTTTTTGGCTGTCTCATGCAGGAAAAATAAATCATCCACCTCCTCCACCAAGATTTTTTTCTTGCCCCTCCATCTCTTGACACTGGGACTTATTCTTTCATTGCCAATAATTCGTTATTGTCTTGATGACAGCATAAATGAGATAGCACTTGAAATAATTCTTACAATAGATAGTCATATCAATGAAATATCCTGAAAACTATAGCAGGTCAATGAAAACAAATGAAAATTTGTGTATTTTTCACACTGGTAACAAACACTGCAAGACAGTGAAAACAAAACCAAGGATTGTTGTACTTTGTTTTCATATGCATTATACAGAGATGGCAACTTGATATGGTAACTTGCAGACAGAAATTTTAAGACTTTTAATACATAAGAAATGTTAGTTTATGTAAAATTAGTTTACTACTCATACTAGCATGTATGAAAAAAGGCAGCAATAAAGAGGTAAATTTTTTTTAGGCCAACAAGTAATTTTGCACACATATTTTGTGTTAGAAATGCAACAGATTTGCAATTTCTAGGACAAAATAGGCAATTTTTAAAGAATTTCTTAATATATATTGAGCTAAGTAGTAGTTAACTTGAAATTAAGGCAGAAAAAACAAATTCTAAATGCAATCATGTATATGGCAAAATTACAGTTTGGATCTATGAGTATGTATGATATCCAATATTTTTCAAAATATAATGATTTTACTGCTCGTAGTGGGAAATTCATTACTATCGGGTTAAGAATTTTAAGCGAATAAAGTGTCATAACTGTTCTACATTTTTTGCTTTGCTTTTATTAAATGAGTTTCATGTCCCCACTTTCAGTAAGTTTTTACATGTAAACTGCACATTGCAATTCATATAAGTGTGGTGAATCCCCTTGTAACAATCGTCAGTTTTGATGAAAATTCAGGTTTAAATTAGAGGACCTTCCTGTTCTCATGGGAACAAACACCGAGTGTCCGCTAAATGACCGGAAAGTAATCAGAAAAAAAAAAAAAAAAAAAAAAAAAAAAAAACATTAAGGACACCCCCTTGTGCAGTTTCCTTGCGACCAAAACTTAAAAGAAAAGGGGAGGGCTTTTGTCTGAAAAATGCCGTAGGTATAAGACATGCGACTGACCTGATCCGCATCTTGTGGAAGCTTGTTTTTCTTACTGTAACTGTGCTGATATTTTACTTTTATTTACCACAGAAATCTTGTTTAAGTTTTAAAATAAATATTTAAAAGACCACCTGTCAGATTATTTCTCCACTTCAAAAGTTCGCTTACGGTACAACTTAAATTTTTGGTGGCAGAGGTGAGGTTTGAAATCCATGGAAAAACATTACAGATGTCAGTCCGGATAAAAAGAAATGTCAGTCTCCTGAATACCTTATATTAAGATGGGATACGGAATCCATGGAAGCAGTTTTGTGGGATGTCTAGGGTTTGTAGGTTTGAAGATCTCTAGCATTTTAAACTTTTATGGGACCGCCAGTGTCCACATGTTTTTAGTGACAAGAGAGGACAGGGTTCGTACACATTTCTGCACATGGAAATTACAGACTTTTAAGGACCATCAATGAAAATAATTAAGGACCTATGAGCAAATGGGAACTGAATAAATTCAATTGAAGATATTATCTATGCCTGAATTTCACTTTTGTAATACCATCCTAAAAATAAAATAGATCCCTAAGTAGTACGCATTATTACTAAACATGAATTAATTAACATAATTGTTAATAAGTTTGAGAATAAAATAAACTTTATGCAATTTATCAAGTAGCATTAAATATTTTACACTTACGATAGTTGATCATATATGAAAGAAGATAAGTGACATTTACATTTTACTAACAGTTAGCCTTCATGTTGATTTTTTTTAAGTCTCATTTTGTCACATACTTGGTCAGTCTAGAGGTTTAGTAAATAAGCAGATAGATTTTTTTGTCAAACTGCATAGGTTAAAATAAGAAGTAAGATCATAATCAGCATAATTCATAACCAAAAGACTGAATGTTGTCACCGCTGCTGCTTGTCTAGAGAGAGAACTGCTGATTAGAACAAACATGAAAGGCCTGATATAGGCAAGGTTGGCAAGTGTTGAAAGTTATGCTCTGTTTGATGCAGTTAGTGTCACAGTTAGCTTCGTGTACAGTTCCAGGGGTTGTAACCCAGTTAAAATACTTTAAGGTTCAAATAAGCCATTAAAGCACCAGAGGTGATATGTTGTTTTGTATTATTTTAGTTCTCAGTAGATGCATTAGAATATGTTTTACTTGAATTTTTACATTTTTATATTCTATCTTGTAACCACAGTGAGCATTAATGAAAGACAATAACTCACTTTAATATGTAGAGATAATTTTTAAGGGTAAGCAGTTAGTTATAAATAATTAAATTAGGTAGTTATTACCTTAGGCATTATGGATTTACATGACCACTATTAAATTTTATTTTTTAACAATATTTGTTAAAAAAAGCCCTATTAAAATCAAAATCTAATAAAATTCCACAGTTTAAAATACATGTAATTTATGACACAGATTTTTAAATGATATTTAGATAATTACACATTAAAAGCTACAAAACATTTATGTTTTGTAACGTTTATATCGATTTCCTTCTCTTTCAAGCATCTTTTCTAACAATTAGAGATTTGTTTCACTATGCAAACCAATGTTCTCGCTAGTTTTTGGGTGCTTTATCTCCTAACTTGTCAACCTCTCCATAATGTACCTATGAGGGTTTAATTGATCTTGTAAAAGTTAAATAGTCCAAAACCCTGACAGCCGTGAAGCATATTATCGCTACGTGTGAAATTAACTACAATATAAGATAAAGGTTTAAATAAACCTCTTATTTAAAAAGAACTTGGAACAAACATAAAGGCATGTTCTGATGCTAACAAAATCAATTACAGCTCACATTGATGTAATTAAACATCAACAGTCAAATTCACACTAATACTGTGAATATACAATAGAATATACAATTTAATTTTACTTTAATCTGGCTCAATAACTCAATAGAAATGGGAAATTAAAGTAAAGGTTGAAATCATAAACAATTGGGTAATTCACATAATAATAACTGCACATATCTTTGATGAATAATTTCCTTTACGTACTCAGCTTCTTCAACACGTTTCCTTTTCATTTCAGAATTTTTGGATTTCATTAAGGATCTGTTATTCTAAAAAACACTAAATGCATTTAGAATGTACAGAAAAAGAGGCTAATTTTATTTCTTTAGTAATATGAACATTCAGAAGCAATACGAAATATATAAAGTAAAGGCCAGTTACAGAGCTGATGTGGCAGAATTTCTAGAATTTAGTGATACATTGAACAAAAAAATCTAGAAATGGCAAAACTTTTAGAATTTAGAAAGGCAGTAGGCAGCAGAATTTAGGATCCATAGAGATTGCATCAGGTGGGAAAATGCCTAGTGCCAGCTATGTGTATAATGCATTAAGAAATATTAGATGAATCTTTTAAATTGTACGTTTCCAATTTCTTTATTAATAAAAAAATCTTCTATAATGCCTGCCCGTGTGATAACATCAGAAGTATTTTTTGATGTTTTCCATGCTTCTGTCTAGTGAAAAGCAGAGAAAATAAAGAGAAGATAAACATGTTAAGATTCTAGTATCAGAAGTCATACATTCAAATATTATGTTTTCATTGTTCTTGAAGATGTTCTTCAAAAATTAAGAAATTCATTGCAAACTTTCTGTAAAATACATCCATTACGTGTTGATACCATGGAGACATTTTTCACTTTGTCACATATTTCTCGAATATTCTAAAATTGTGGGTCTATAAATCTTGCCTTCAAATCCTTCTAAACTTTCCAAGCTGTAATGTCTAAAATCCTACAGAAAATCATCCCTACCAATTCTGTAACAGCAAAAAGCCAGAAATATTTTGGAAAAAAGTAGGAGGGAAAAAGAATAAAATTAATTTTATAGAGAAAACTGATACACATTCTGAGAATTTTGAATATTCTGAGACAATTACATGGGAAAAACTCTTACTATGAAAAAACTTTAAAACAAGACATTTTTAATTAATTACATAGCTAATTTTGCTTTTGCTAAGAGCTGTTTCGTAAACTGTGCTTTATAGCATTATACCTTGTTTATTTTTCAGATTTAAAATATTGTATAAGTTGCCAAAATGAAACTTTATAATATGACAGCAAAAAATAAAAAAATGTTTTATTTTAATGTTATTTTTTAAATATAATTTCAATATATTACCAATATTTTAATAAAATTTATCAATGTTACAATGTTTTAAAAAAAATCGTCGAAAAATTCTCAGATTTTGGAATTAAAAAGTTTCTACAGAAACTAATGTTAAAATGGCCAAAATGTTGAAAAGTCGCCAAATTTAGAGCCGTTTAATAAAAGAATTCACATCCCCAAAAGCAAAAAGTTGTTTAAGAGCTATTTACTGGAAAAAAATTAATTTCGAAATCCTTATGTTTCACTTCTTGCTTAGAAACTCGAGTATCCCATCATTTACATTAGAAATAGAAACAAATTATAACTCATGAACCCATTCAAAAGATAACCATATATATGGCAATGAATCACCAAAAATATTCCTCAAAATGCTAATTCACACTCAAAATGACAGTTGTAAAAACAGACAGAAATTTCAGATGATTAAAATTAAAGACCTTCTGCTGATTTTGACCAAAATTAAGGACTTTTAAGGACCAAAAATCGATTCCAAAAAATCTAAGGACTTTTAAGGACCAAAAATCGATTCCAAAAAATCTAAGGACTTTTAAGGACTCTTAAGGACCGTACGAACCTTGGAGGAACATCAAGTTCTAGAATTCAGCTGATCTCAAGTTTGTGGGACAGTCATTGTCCAAATATCATCAGCACTTTAAAATTTTGTGTGACTGTCTATCATCAGCATTTTAAAATTTTGTGTGACTGTCTTGTGTTCAAATATACTTCCAAGTAGGTAAGTGTAAAAAAAAATTCATCCATTTTAGTAGTGGACCATCAGGTTCCAAAAATCCAGTTCAGTAGAAAATTTGTGAGACAATCAATGCCTGAAGATCATCAGCATCTTGTGGGAGTATCAGTGTCCAAAAAGTGATGTGTTATGATAATAAGTGATATATGTGTCTGGACCATTGGCATCTATAAAAATCTTAAATTGTGATTTATTAATTAAGTTGTGACAGTATCTTCATATTCGACGCATGAAGCAGTGCATGCTAGCTTTTCATTCAAAGTCACGTATTCCTCTACATGATATAATTTCTGTCAAGTCTTGACAAAATTTTCAGATAAATCACTAATTAAAGCTGATTTTTCACTCTTTCTTCTGTTATCCCGTATTCTGACATCATCAAATTATAAGGCACGAAGAATGAAAAGCAAACGCTTATAGTTCATAGTTTTGCAAAAAATATCCAATCCTGTGCCATCAGTCGCCCATAAATCTTTAACATATGCATGGGAAGATTTGTGCAATTCAGCTATGTATAAGTGTGTTAAAGAAAAGCAAAGTTTTGCATCTCCTTCTCTTTTGAAATTTCCAGAAATATTTTTTACATGCACATTACAGCATTTCACAATCATTGTGTTATCAAATAATAGGTTTCATGCACTGATGGGTGAAGACATGTCTTTAGTACATATGTGTATTGTCAGACAAATTTTTTATGATATTATGGGACACATGCATCTTTCACATCGAAAGGGTTCTTTCTGCCACTGTATTGTTTTATCTTTTCCTATAAAATAGTCTGTTTGATCATAAGGAATGTCTTCTGAAGATTCGCACTCTTCTTCGTACAGACTGATGATCGCTAAATATATCTTCATTATCTGATTCTCCTAATTCTTCTTTTATAGAATCTTCATCAGACGAAACCTCCGCTAATAATTTTTGAAGTCTTTTCATTTCTTGATCATACATCAAATGAGGAAGAGACCGAAATGAGTGACTTGAATAAACAATGGCTCGCGCTGAAAAATAGCAACACGAAAACGCGCATAGGGTGTCAGCACACCCCAAACTGTTCTTTAAAACACAATAAATGCCCGGAATTTGCCGTTTCCACTCGAACCATGCAGAACATGATCTTGGAGGCAGCTACTGATGGACCTAACCATTTCGGATTATGGGGAAGATAACGTTTTTTTTTTTTTTTTTTTTTTTTTTTTTTTTTTTTTAAAGTCTTCCCGGGTTAAGAAGCAATTATCTGACAGAAAACAGAGTGCTATTTTAAAACCTGGTGAATGGTCGGAATCCCTTGGTCATTCCTGAAATAATTCAAGAAATAAACATAGATATATGCGAACTCACCACGTCTACAGGAAAGAAAAATATACTAACAGCACCTTGTTTATCCTCCAAATAACAGGAGACAATTCCAATAGAAGATATCACTTCTGTTACTGGGTGGATGCATTACTAAAACCTTCCACCAAAATAAGAATTTCTAAAGATCAAGGAACGTTGGTTTGCTTGTTTTGGCCTCATACCAACCAGATAAACTCTCAGTAAATTTGACAGTGCCTGAATGTTTTAGAAGTGGTTTGTCTGAAACAAACTGCATTGTAAATTTACCAGGGAAAAAGGAAAGATGCACTGTTCGCCATCTTATTAAATTATAGCCATATAAGGAAATGCTTAAAATGAATAATTATATTTATTTTATAAATGATGTAAATCAAATTATAATGAAATGGTTCCTCCTTATGTTAAAACCAGATAAAATGTGTATGATTATTTTGAGATCATTAAGTGCAGTAGTTCTGGATCAAGCTTCGGGTCTCCACACAGTGATTTCCAGAAACTGATAATCAAATATCTGTAAGGCTTTCCTTCTCAGCCTGGATAAATGTATAATCAATATTAGATTTTAAGAATGTATGTTGTATATTGCATGTTTGCAGAAACACTGTAAAATTCTATTTTGTGTGTGTAAGTTAGTATCTGGTTTACTGTTTTTAATACTGGCCTCAATATACATTCATATTTTTTTATCCTTGGTATTTAACCCAGCATAGTGTCAAAATTTTGTGTTTATATTCATTGTTTAGTGCTAACTTTGTATGTTTTTAGCAGAGGTAATTAAGCAACAGATACTGGAATTCTGCAAACCCCCTCCACCCAGAGGAAGAATGGGTAGTACTGACCCTCAATTTTGATGAAACATCAGGTTTAAATTAGATAACTTTCTGTTCTCATGGGAACAAACAGTGATTAAGTGTGCTAAATGAACAGAAAGTAATCAACAAAAACTCATTAAGGACACCCCCTTGTGCAGTTTCCTTGTGACAAAAACAAAAAAGAAAAGGAAGGGGCTTTTGCCTGAAAAAAAAAAAAAAATCAATAGAGGCTTAATTAAATCTACACCAAATAGAAGATTGTTGTTTTGCTTACATTTTCTTTGGATATATATATCATATTTAAAGACTGGAACTGTGAAAGGTTTGTCTAATCAAAATTATAATTTTTATTGAAATGAAAGGCAGTTATGCATAGTTCAGAATTCTTTATTTTTTATCAAGACAAAACCTATAAGAACTACCTTTTCAAACTTCACAAACTTTTTAGACAACATTCCAAGAAACACTGACTCAAATTTATACTGTGAACACAGAAAACCATGAAAACACCCGTGCAGTCAGGTTGTTCGCCAGGATACAAATTCAGGTTGAATTACCAATGTAAGCAGCCTCATTTAGTCGGTCATTATTGGCCCCTCAAAAAATGGAAAGAAAACATAGCTTAAACTATGCATATTAGGAAACTCTAGGATGTGCAAGGAAATTTACAGGGTGCTTTCAAGATTAAGCAGTATGCTTTTAAAAGTCCAGTTATAAAAAATCACAAAATATGATTTAATACAAAAATAAGTTACCAGCTCTGTTAAGTAATTAGACATGATCTAAATAAATTCTAAGATATAGATCCCCCCCTAACACATTACAATATCTCTGTTTAAAATTTTATTACTGTGCCTTAACACATAATCTTAAATTTTTGACAAAGACAACTGAAAGGCCCATCCTCTAATTTACTGAATGCGGTAATTTTCAAAACTCACTTTATGGAGTTAATCTACCAGGTTCAATAATAAATTTCTGATATCTTACCGGAGCTCCATAACCCCGTTGACCTTTGTCAATAACTTCAGGAGCCATGTATTGAAGGGTACCTGAAAATAAAAATCGTGAAAGATCCAGTTTTACAGAAAATATAAGGTTAGAAATTAACTAAGACTACTATAAAAGGATTAGTTTGCTAAAAAAGAATAATTTTTAGGCACAGTAATCAATCTGTTTTTACTTAAAATTTACCATCATCCACAAAATACTTCATAACTAAAGAGATAACAGTTTACAAGTTTCAATTATGTCCGAGCAAGAAAAACCTGTAACATTTATTATCACCTAGGCAACTATACTAACCCCCTGAGCAACGTGGCTGCTTTTATCTGATGATGAGATTTTTTGCTGCTTGGTATGCAATAGCCTACAATTTAAATTATTTTACTTCTGTATGTTCTTTAACAAGACCAACTTAATGAATAGAAATTTATGAAAACACATACTAAAATAAATAACTATACAAATTTGACTAATAGAAACTATTCAAATACAGTTTTTCAGGACCAGATCCAAAAAGCCATGACAATCAGAAGGCTAATAATATATAGTATAAACCAGTACTTTTTACTGCCCTCTTATCTCTTAAGGTTTAAGTTAAATTTTTTTCATACATATACGACAAAGAATGTATACTGTAAATGTATGACTGCAGCGATAGAATCTGCTGTGAATTAATTTACCCTAAAGCAGTGTTTCTCAATCTGTCGGACTACAAGTGCTTCTCTAAGGCTCTCTTTGTACACTTCTTAGATTAAAAAAAAAAATAACTGCATATGCTGCCAATCTCAGAATTTGGAAAATACACATGGCAATAATTTTTCACAATTCCTACCTATGGCTTCTCACACTAGTCTTAGAAAGAGATTTCTATTAAAGTATGTTAATAAAAATAATAATAATATAATATATAGTTTAGATAAGTTCTGGCAACAGGTTGTCGTCATCAGTAGATTGTGCTTCACGATACTGTTGTTCAAAAAAAAAAAGCTATAGTTTGTAATTCCAATAAAAGCATCGTATTTTTGCTCTGCTATTTGTTTTTCTCTCTATTTTTAGAAATACCTTTTTAGGTTATGTATTTTTAAAAAAATACTTTTTTAGGTTATGGGTCAAGCAAGCTCCCATATTGCGTCAAATGTTTTGAATTGATTTCTTCTCGAAGAAACGGAACTCGTTAAGCCTAATCAAGTAAGTGTTTTGTTTTCGTTATAGCAATCGAATGTTGTTTAGAAATCAAAGTATGGAATTATCTAAGGTCCAAGTAAAGCCTTTATCAGGTGAAAGCGATTGGCTTATATGGAAATACAGGATAAAATTTGTTTTAAATTATCATCTTGGTGCTTTAGAAATTGTAGAAGGAACTATAGTGAAACCAGAAATTCTTCCTGTAGATGTTCTGATTGCTCAACAAGAGAAATATAATGAAGCTGTTAAGAAGTTTCAAAATGCAAACACTAGTGCTATGATGGTATTAACGAATTCCATGATGGAAGAATGCAAAAAGTTATGAGATTTCAGACTGCTAGAGAAGTGAGGTTGGAATTACATAAGTTATTTGAAGCATCATCAGAAAATCAATTGTATAATATATGCATGCAATTTTTTCAATGCAAGTGGAATGAAAATGATAACATGGCAGCTCATCTTTCCAAATTAAAAAACTTATGGAATGAGTTGAATTAAGGACTTGAAAAGAAAAATGAAAATAAGTTACCTGACATGCTACTCAATTGCAAGATTTTAGATGTCTTACCAGGACAATACCATTTGTTTAAGTCAAGTTGGTTACTCTTAGGTGAAGACAAAAGAACAGTTGATGAGTTAACAGCACAGCTTTGCTCTCATGAAACAGAATTTAAAAGTCATGAGAAAGGCAATACAAATGAACAAGTGGCATTAGTAATGTCAAAATCTGAAAAACAAAAGCAATATAAAAAAGACAAATTCCAGAAGAAAACCAAGAAAAGAAGATATTTGCAATTATTGCAAAAAGAAATGGACACTGGGTAAAAGATTGTAAACAGTGGATTGCTGATGGAAGACCACCCAAGAATAGGTTAACGAAAACCAATGAAGGAAATACAGGCAGTGTAATACTGATGTCCATTGACGAAGAGACTAAGACTGATCAAACATCTTTTTGGATTGATAGTGGAGCTACAAGACATATCATGAATTGTTTTTCACATACTTTATTGACTTTATGAAGTTTGATAGTCCCTGTAGCATCAAGGCTGCTGGAAAAGAAACTTTAGTTGCTCTTGGTAAAGGTACAGTATGTGTCAAAACAACTATTGGTAGTAAAATCCAAAGAATTTACCTTAAAGATGTTTGGTATGTTCCCTGAGATAAACAGAAATTTATTTTCTTTACTTGCGCTGCTCAAGATAGAAATCCGAATAGTAAATTTATTTCAACAGTTACAGAATGCTGGTTAAAGGTTAATGGTCAAGTAGTGCTTTTTGGAACTCGCAAAGTATATGGTACTTTATACAAGGCAGCTATCGAACCTATTATGCCTGATAAAATTATAGAAGTGCATTCTGCTGAAGCAGACAATTCCTTGTTAGAGTTATATCATCAGAGATGGGGACATCAAGATAAACGTCACATTAAGAACATGCTTGAGAAAGAATTAGGAATTAAAACCCCATTTGAAAGAAAATTGTGTGAACCATGCATTTTTGGCAAAGCACACCATTTACCATTTGGCATAAGAAAGCCAGCCAGCAAGCCTAGTGAATTAATTTCAGCTGATGTCTGTGGACCTTTTGATGAATCTTTCCAGAAGAAAAGATACTTAGTTGTGTTTAAAGATAGCTACACAAAGTTTCGTTATGGGTATTTTATCAAGGAAAAATCTGCTGTTGTAAATATGTTACAACACATGCTTGCACACGCTAAAATTTCGGACATTCAGTCAAAGAATTTCTCAGCGATAATGGAGGCGAGTTTGACAATGACAAAGTGCGTGCTATTTTGCATTCTGAAGGTATAACTCAAAGACTAACAGCACCTTATTCTCCTGAACAAAATGGCTCTAGTGAAAGAGACATACGTACAATAATCGAAATGGCAAGAACATTTAAGTACTCAAATTCTGAAGCTCATTTTCCTGCAGCAATGTGGGCTGAACTAGTCAACACTGCCATATATGTACTAAACAGAACTGGCAAATCATCAGTAGAAGGCATGAGTCCTTATGAGCTATGGTTTAAAAAGAAACCTCGAATTAAGCATCTTCGTATAGTAGGATCTGTGTGTTATGCCCATATTCCTAAACAAAGAAGAAGGAAAATGGATAATAAGGCTACAAAAGCTTATTTAATTGGTTATGATGGAGACGAAAGATACCGACTATGGATCAAAGAAACCAATAGTGTGATCTGTTCACGTGATATTATATTTAACGAAAAGCTCACAAATTGTGAAGAAAGGGTGCAGTTACCTATTCAAGATCAAGATAGCCTAATTTCTGGCTCTGAACATCAACAAAATTCAGAAAAAGATAAGTCAGAAAAGTTTCTTTGTGAAGAAGATAATTCAGAAAAAGAATACAACAAAGAAATATCTAGAAATATATCAGAAGAAAATTTTGAAAAACAAGAATGTGAAGATATCAATTATCAAAATAATGCACAGTCAAGATACCTAAGAGATAGAGCTGACTTGAGAAAGGCAAAGCGTTTTGAAGATTATATAATGATAAGTGAAGCTTTTATTATTGATTCTGAAGAGCCCGAATCTTATGAAGAAGCGATCAACTGTAAGCAAAGTGTTAATTGGAAAGAAGCTATGGATTCAGAGATGAAATCATTAATAGAGAATGAAACATGGAGTTTAGAAAAATTACCAAAAGATGCTAAAGCTATACCATGCAAGTAGGTTTATAAGATCAAAAGGAATCCTGATGGATCTATTGATAAATTCAAGGCTAAACTTGTTGCCAAAGGATGTACTAAATGTTTAGTCCAGTAACAAAGTTAGGAACTATTTGTTCAGTTTTGAGCATCGCAGCCAATGAGAAAATGCATCTTTCTCAGTTTGATGTTGGTTCAGCATTCTTATATGGAAAACTTGAAGAATCTATATACATGCAGCAACCAGAAGGATATAGTGACGGTTCGAAGAAAGTCTGTAAGTTGAAACGCAGTTTGTATGGACTTAAACAATCATCACGCTGCTGGAATAAATATTTTGGAGATTTTGTGTCACAGCTGGGCTTCAAGACAAGTGAAGCTGATCCATGCTTATATATAAGAAACAATAACGGCAAGAAGCTAATCGTATGTTTATATGTAGATGATGGTTTAGTAGCATCAACAGATCTACAAGAATCTGAAAAATTTCTCAGAGAATTGAAGTCGAGATTCAGAATCACAACTAAACCAGCAGTATACTTTCTTGGACTTGAAATTAAACATCTTGAAGATGGAAGTATTAAAATTAGTCAGCAAGCTTATGCAAGAAAAATTCTTCAAAAATTTGGGATGGAAGATTGCAAGCCAGTGTCAACTCCTATCCTGAAGGAAGGTCTAACTGAAAAGAAAAAGGAAGATAAATCAAACAGAGAAATTTTTCCTTATAGAGAAGCTGTAGGAGCTTTAATGTATCTTATGTTAAGCACAAGACCAGATTTAGCTTACTGTGTTGGCATTCTATCACGTTACCTAGAAAAGATGATTCCTTCAAAAGATGATTGGAAAAAAGTGAAACGTGTATTCAGATACATAGCAGTTCTCTAACTAAAGGTGTTACACACAAGAATAAATACAAACCAGGAATTCTAGAATGCTATAGTGATGCAGATTTTGGAGGCTGTCAAGAAACAGGAAAATCAACGAGTGGAGTAGTGATATTATATAGTGGTGGAGCTATATCATGGATTAGCCAAAGGCAATCAGTTGTTGCAACTTCGACGACTGAAGCAGAAGTAATTGCAGCTAGTGAATGTTCTAGAGAAGTAATTTGGTTAAAGCGACTATTTAGTGATGTAACCAAGTTACGTGAAACTCCAGTAATTCAAGTAGACAACGCCGCTGCAGTG